TATTTAAAAATATTCAAACTAACAAATACTGATATTAATATATTTTAAAAGTATAATTTTATTTTAATATATATATAGGAAGTAGGAAATTTATTATATACTAAGATTTATAGCTATTTAAAAAATGTATATAATTATACTAAATGTCTGTAAACAAAAAAAATTAAGATATATAAAAATATTTTATCTAGTTTATAAAAAAATATATAAATTAAAACATCAAGGATATTGATATCATTTCAAAAACGATTTTATTTAATTTATAAAATAGTTTCTATGTGTGATTTTTTTTCTATAAATTATATTCACATATGATTCCCTTTTTATAAATTAAGTAAATATGTAAAGGTAATATAAAAATCTAATAAATAAACATATACAAATCTATTAAGTTAAGTAATAACAAAAAATGATAGAAATACATAATTTTATCTATAAACTTAATAGAAAAAAAAGTAACTGAGTGATGACATTTGTTTTCTTTATTTTTTATTTAATTACTAATAATAAAGTAGTTGAATAAAAAAATGTAATTCAAGTAATAATTTTTTTAAAAAGAGAGAACATTGTCAAGAAAAAACATAAGTAAAACTATTTTGCTAAATGACAACAATTATTCTCTACTGCACTGCTTATGATTGTTCCGCTGTAAACACTCAAAACCTAAATCTGAGCAAATAACAAAATAGGTGTGGTATATTGTTAATTTCTACATACAAAAATATTTTTTTGGTAAGTGAGCTTTGTGATTTCCTACTTGTTGAATGGTAGCTATTTGCTTACACAGTACTAAAACCGACATGTCCCGCATTTAACATTCACACAAGAGAGTTAGTGGGTTAAAGATCAAAGTTGTGTTAAAATTGTATTAAGGTTTTGAGTGTTTACAGCGGAAAACTATAACATAGTGCGGTATAGAATTAATGATGTTACTGAACAAAATACTTGTGCTTGTGTTTTGAATAAAAACAATAAATTAGAAAAAGATAAAATAGAGAGCGGGACAATCATGGTCTTGGACCGCACCTAAAATGAGAAGATGGTAAAAAAGGTGTGGTTAATGTAGTCCACACCTATTGTTAATATTTTTTTAGTTACGAAAAATGTAGAAAACCACAAATTTATCTTCTTCTTTTTTTTTCTTGACCAAGCTATCTTCTTATTTTCAAAATTATTAATATCTTATTATTTTTTTGTTCAGTTTCTTTATTATTACTAATTAAGAAAAAAAAGAAAACAAATGTAATCACTTAGTTACTTTTTTTGCTATTAAGTTTATAGATAAAATTATGTAATTATTCGATTTTTAATTATTACTTAACTAATAGCTTTGTATATGTTTATTTACTAGATTTTTATATTACCTTTACATATTTACTTAATTTATAAAATCATATGTGAATATGACTTTCAAAAAATCAGATATAGAAAATATTTTCTAAATTAGATAAAATCGTTGTTTAAATGGTACCATTATCCTTGATATTTTAATTTATAATATTTTTATAAATTAGATTAAATATTTTTAGATATCTTAATTCAGTTTTGTTTACAGACATTTAGCATATTATATTTTCTAAATAGCTATAAATCTTAGTATTTAGTAAATTTCATATTTCATATATATATATATATATATATCTGAAAATAAAATTTATATTTCTAAAAATATTAATATCAATATTTTTAGTTTGAATAATATAAATATATTATATGTATTCCGCGGTTACACTATTCATCATACATGTCACCATTCATAATTTGTTTTGAACTGTTTATCTTAGACGAACCGTAGATGTTCCGTAGTATGAGTTTTTCATATACCAATTGCAAGTAAACCGTTTCCCAATATCTAATATGCTTGTCTCGCACCATTTAGTCCGCCGTTACTATTCGGAACCTAAACATGGTTCAATATTACAGAATATGCATATATATTATTCTTCTTTTTAAAGAAAAAGTGTGTCACCTGACACCCCATTAACTAACATAGGTCTGCCTCTACAACCAAATTGGTTTTTGGATTATTAAGATAAGTGGAGACATGAGACATCTCATGGTGTGATAGACCCAACGATCTAGTTTAATCTATCATTATATTGTTGTTACATTATTTTCAGAAAAGTTGGGTTCTTATGATAAAATTCTCTTTATATGGATGACCTAGTTTAACTAGACTAATTCCCTATATATAAAAACAGATTTATTGCAGCATTATATATATGACACATGTCATCACTAGAATATTTCACAAAGTTTCTAGAGAAAAATATTAATCCATATAAATATATAATATATTTTTTATTAACTTAACTATAAATTATTATTAATGCTCTTCATTCTTTCGGTTAATAAAACTACGGAATTACCTAATATGATTCATATATATGTATACGACAATTAATGATTTGAATAAGAAAGATTTAATAAAAATTTATGTACCTCTATTCTTTTTGTTAAATTTATATTACAAAAGTAAATTAAACAATCTCATTAACTATAATAAAACAACAAATTTGATTTTTTCGTATATGTTATATTTTAATTTTTTAAATGACTATAAATTAAGAAAACCTTTAAAACTCAACAAAGATTTTTTTGTGATTAGTATTATTTTTGTTATAATAAGATACAAACGATTGTACAATCAATGAGTATGAAATATTATTTAATAGATATTCATAATGTATATATATATATATATAACATATATAATTTTCTAATGACGTTTAAATTAAACTATATATCATCTAAACATATATAAAAAATTTCATTTCAAAATTGCATTGAATAAGTATTGAGAACTTAATATTTTAGTTTCACACTTTGAATTGATTTTTTAAATGATTATGAATTACTCTTAATATTAAATATCTAATATTATGTTATCACTGGTTTAAATTTTTTCTTATGAAATATACAAATGATCATAAAACCATATAAGTATGAAGCTTAATTTAATAGATATACATATTAAAAATATATTATATATCTATGTTAATATCATTTGGTTTCTAGATATATTTATATAAAGTGATTGTAAATAAAAAAGTGTGACTTTTTTATTTATGTGAGTACGCTAATTTAATTATATACATATTATTCACTAATTTTCAATTATTCAGTATGTATATATATATATATATTTATTTTATAGTATCTAAAAACACAATATAAGTAATAATACACAAAATAATTTATGTATACATTTTCTATTCCGCGCAAGTTATGGATCTTAACCTAGTACTATGGTAAAACTGATACATTTTCAGATAAACTTGTGAAATTCCAAAAAAAATTCAACTATAATAAACCCTTTTTGAGAGACGAAATCCCAATTTTCACTCTCATGACACATGAGAAGAGACACTGAAAATGTCAGATATCATATGTAATCTGTATACAGGGATGGGCGCGGATCGGATATTCGGATTTTTCAAGGTAATTGTGATTTGGTTCGATTGTTACGGATATCTAATTTTGGTATTTGCTTTGCTTGGGAAAATACATATATCCGGAAAATAAGTAGATATTTGCGGATATTTATGAATATTTATGGATATCTAATCCATTTTGATTAATACAAATAATCTTAAAATTTTGATATAAATTTTCTTTGCAAAAATATTTTTTAGCATGATATATAAAATAAAAGTTAAAAGAACTAGTGAATTTACATATTTTGTAATTTTTGAAGTTTAAGCTGTAATTATAATAACACAAAAGTTAAGAACACAAAATATAATTGTCATAATTATTTTTCTTTTTTTATGTAATACATTTATATAAGTAATAATGTGAATAGAATTGTTCAAAATCATTTTTTAGAATAACAATTATATAATTTTATACATTTAAAATTTTAAACATAATCAATAGATACATATATTTATATATTTCCGGATCGGATCGGATATCCGCTTTTCAAAATTTTAATATTTGTGATTTGATTCGATTTTAACGGATCTTTATTTTTAGTATTTGCTTTGATTTGAATGTTAACGGATATCCGAAATTTTTGGATTGAATCGAAAAAATAACGAATCGAATCAAATTTAACAAATAAAGTGCCCAGCCTTAGATACTATATAATCTGTTTCATGTTTTGTTCTCATAAACTACAATGAACAATATTGAATTTGTTAAGACCCAACAGATACAGAAGCCAATGTTTTAACAACATTTTGTTTCCAAAATTAAGGAAAGTACTCGTAAATTCAAACACTTTTTTTAAATCCATAACCATAAACACTAAGAATGATTCATTCCCCTAGACTGGTTCTTGTGTCCTAATAATCATATCACTCATACTAAACCCATTGGGCCTTAATCTGATAAGAAGTCAGCCCACAAATTGCCTATCTTTCTATCTAACTTTCATCTACCCAAACCAGCGAGACCTGTCAGTTCGTGTCTCCTTTTTATCATTCTTTCTTGGAGTTTACGCGAAGACTGAGCTAAACCCACATTTGCTGGCTTATTTCCTTCATTGGTTGATTGAAATCTAAAGTGAAGTTACATATTAAATTTAAAAAAAAAAAAACGATTGATCCCTGTGTTTCCACGGTATTTATTCATTTCCAGAAGCAGGCATTTTCGTGTATAGGTCTTCTTTTTATTGTCGTTGTGTAGTTTTCAAAGTTAAAAGTTTATAATTTTGGCTTTACATACATAAATGAAGAAAGAAAAGACATTTTCATTTGCCTTTTCTCAGACAAAATTTTCGGATGATCAAACTGCAGAAAATAAGAACAAACTGTATATAAGATAAAGATGGTTGAGCTGACTATAACAACTATAACAAATAAAACAAGACTTGGATTTTGCTTTAAGTTAATGATTAACAATGTTAACACTTCTTGTACTTCTTAAGACCAAATCTTGATGTTGTGGTTTATCTAAAGAAGGTGGGTTTGGTAAGACATTTGGTTTATCTGCCGAGGATTGTTATAAAATCCATAATAAAAGAGTTGTTGAAGCATTTAGTAAGTAACAAAAAAATGGCTGAAGCAAAAAGCCTTGAGAGACTTAAAGCAATGAGAAGTTTATTAAAGAGTGAGATGGAGAAATCAGAAACATTCTCATTGGTTCTTGAAAAGACAGGATCTAAGCTTGAAGATCTCAACACCAAGTTGTTGTCATTAGAAGCTGATGTTAAGGTAGAGAGATGGAGATCTTCTCCTTTCTCTGATCATATCCGTTACACCATTGCTCCTATATCCGCTGCTCTGAGAGTCTATGCTTCCGTTCAAGAACTCGAGAGATCTCTCGTGTCCTGTAATGAAGTTCTTGGTTATGTTTCGGATGTTAAACGTCTTGGAGAAGCGTTGAAGCTTCTCTCGAGCAGCTGTGTTCTCGCTCTTAACTGGCTTGAAGAAACAACCAAGTTCCTGTCCGAAAACGGAATGCCTGAAGATCATCCTTGCAGTTTACGGTTCAAAACATCTATAAAGCTTCTGCAAGAACTGAAAATGACTGAGGCTAGTGCTTATCTCAGAGGAGGGAGTCTTCACACAGCGTTGGAGAATCTTGAAACAGAACTAGAGATGATTCTTGAAGAGGAGGAGGCTTTGTCTGAATCCAACTTGAGAGACTTGAAAGCAATCATCAAGAGATTAGATGCTCACACGCGGTTAACAAACTGTGTGCATGCTTACATCAAGAACCGCACAAGAGTCATTCAGAAACGGTTTGAGATTGATTATTACCAAAGAAAAATCACAGAAGCTGATAATGTGCATGACGTTGAAGGCTATATAGATCAATGGAGATTTGATATGGAGATAGCTGTGAAAGAGATCTATGACTTGGAGAGTAACCTCTGCTATGAAGTGTTTGAAGATGTTGGAGAAGAAGAACATGTTCCATTGCATTGCTTTGGAGCAATAGCTTCAAACTCAGGAATCCTCCAGCTTCTCAGATTTGGATCAAGAATCAGCAAATGCAAGAAAAGTCCACCAAAGCTACTAAAACTCTTGGAATGTTTCTCTACAATGGAAAACGTTAGAACCGAGTTCAACAGGCTGTTTAGAGGAGAGGAGTGTTCAGAGATACGTAGAGAAACAAGGGAGCTTATTCGCAATCTTGTTAAAGGTGTCTGTGACATCTTTTGGGAGTTACCTTGTCAGGTAGAGCTTCAAAGACCAAACTGTCCTCTTCTTGATGGTGGTGTCCCCAAGCTTGTGAGTGTTGTGACTGAGTACTGCAACAAGCTGCTTGGAGAGAAGAACAAGCCTGTCTTGTCCAAGATTCTTGAGATATATTTGGGGTGGAAGAATGAAAAGTATCAAGAAGAGATACTCACAGGTCACATGTACAACATACTGAGAGAGATTGCTTTGAACTTGGATGCATGGTCTAGTTCCAAAAAAGAAACAGCTCTTTCTTACATCTTTATGATGAACAACCACTCCCACTTCTGCGGCCTGAGAGAGACTAATCTCGGGTTAATGATGGGAGAGTCTTGGTTAAACGCACATGAGCAGTACAGAGACTACTATGCAGCATTGTATGTTAAAGATAGCTGGGGAAAGCTCTTGTCTCTACTCCACAACAAATCTCAAGCCCTCTCATCAACGTCTCCTGTGAAAAGAAAGTCCATTAAGAGAACATTACAAGCCTTTGCTAAAGGGTTTGATGAGATGTACAGAAAGCAATCAAATTGGGTTGTTGAGGATGAGAAGGTGAGATGGAAGATATGTGAAGCTATGGTAAGAACGGTTGTGCCTAGGTACAAGAGTTTTTTACAAAGTTATATAATGCTTCTTGTGGAAGAAGATGATCATGAGAGTCATGGTAAGGACTTGAACTATACTCCAAAGGGTTTAGAGATGAAGCTGAAGACAATGTTTAAGAGCAATGAAGAGACAGAGTATTCTGACTTCGATGGATATAGGGATTAGTCAGAATCATCACTTGACATTAGAAGAAGCTGTATGATACTTAGACACAGAAACTAGACTCGTTCTTGGTGAAAACAGATTAGCTTTAGCCTTTCCTTGAAGAAGCATGTAGTGTATTTGTATATGTGAAATACAAAAGGTGTACACTTGGTTCTTTGTACTTTGTTGATGATGCAAATGATTTTTTTTTTTTTTGTGGGGCACATCAAGACTACATATAGTTTTTTTTTTCTGATGAAATATTAAATTTAATATCACCGTAAAAAACATATTACAAAATACACGTACAAGAACATATTTACAAAACACACATAGAAAACAAATAGAGTTTAAACGTCTAAAAATATGAACTCCAAACCATCTATAAAGCAACGTCTCAGCTTTGGCCTGAAGAAATACTTGGTGGAGGTAATGCGATTGCGCATTGTCTTGTCAATCATTCGAGCAAGGTGTTCCACTGGTTTTGCAGTGTTATTATTGTGCTTCCTATCAATGACGATATGATTAATAACATTACAGATAGTTGATTATCATATCTGATAGAACTAAAGATTATATAAAGATGTAATTGTTATTCATCTTTAGAAAAAATGAAGTCACTATATTTATCTTTTTCTCATTGATTCACATATAATTTTGAATAATCTCATAACTTAATCGTACTTTCAAAACCAACAAAAAATAATGATGACAATTGACAAGTCATTTGCATTCCATTTGAAACATTTGAAACTGAGACATAATTGCAAGATTTTATTAGTAAATTGAGACAGAACTAGACTTGAGGTCATACATTTGAAACATTTAAATATGACTCTTATTTTGTGAGATTTCCATTTTAAAAACAAATAATATTTATTCATATACATATATTAATATAATTATATATAATGTAATGTAGAATAAAATACACAATAAATTTTATGTTATTATGATGAATATATTTAATAAGAAATAAAATATTATTTCTGTAATGTCACTGAATCTAATAACACTTTTTTTTTTCTTTAATATAACAAATAATATCAACTATCAATTTTGTTAAAAGAAAATTAGTAAAAATACTTTCAACTTTTAATTTTAAAAATATATAATTGTTTGGTCTTGAATACCCCTTTTTCTTCTCTGATTTGAGAAATATATATATACAGTTTAGTGGTTCACTATATAATTGTTATTTATTAACAGAATTCAACATTATTAATCATTCATAGATGACCACAATTAAGGAAAATATAAACATGGAACTTCATGTCACGTTTGCAACAGATTGCTCTCAATTAGTGAAGATAGTTTAGAACCGGAGGAATGGTCTGCGTTTGCAAACTACCTAGAAAAAATCAAGATGTTGAGGAGAAGTTTCAATCACTCAGAAATAATATATGTCCCTAGAATAAAGAATCTCAAGACAGATAGTCTGACACGGAGCGCTAGGCAACAATCAACAAAAAAAAAAAAAACATGGGACTTCTACATATTCTGTTTCCTTTTTTCTTCTTTTTCTTCTTATCAACACCACCACCTGGTAAGTAGCAGCTACACAACAACACAGATGATTCTCCGGGGTTAATGGTCAATTCATACACCAAAGGATCACGGTCCCGATCAATACATAAACTCGCATCCTGTGCTAAAACATACACCAACTCAAATTATATTTAAATTTCATACATCAACAAACACTTTTCAGTAAATTCATACATTGACCGTATCTGTGTTAGTCAAATATTAACAATGTCTCACGTGAACTTAACGGATGATGACGTGGATTTACAAGATTAATACAACGTTGTTTTATATAAAAAAAAAATCTATTTAAATTCGGTTTAGAGGAGGATTTGAACCTAGGTCCCCCACAAAAACTCATCCCCCACACAACCATTCAGCCATAAATACATAATTGGTATAATGTATCATATATACATATTTAGTATTCATTGGTTTCAAATTTCCCACAAAATTTCGTTATATTTTGGTGTAGAAAAGGTATCGAACCCGAATTCCCAACAATAAGCCATCCCCCGCTCGACCACTCTGCCATGTATGCTTGATTGGTTTAATAAATAATTTATAGATATATTGGGTTAGTAAGAATTGCCCAAATATTTTATAAAAAGCAAAACAAATTGCTCAAATGTTAAATTTTAGAGAATTGGAAGTTTCAATTTGTTTATATATTTTAATCCAAATATTATATTTGAATTTATAACTCGGCTTCGAATCCTCTTTTGAACCAAATGAAAACGAATGACATCTATACATATTTAAGATCCATCAGTTTCAGATTCCCAAAAAAATCATTTTCATTTAGTTTAGAGGAGGATTCGAACTCGGGTTATAAATTCAAATATAAATTATTTAGATTAAAATATCTAAATAAATTAAAACTTTCAATTTTCAAAAATTAAAAATTTGAGCAATTTTTTTATTTTTTAGAAAACATTTGAGCAATTTTTTTATTTTTTAGAAAACACTTGAGCAATTTTTACCAAGCCCAATAGATGTATATATATGATGTATTAAACAAAAAATCATACATGGTAGAGTGGTCGAGTGGGTGATGTGGTATTGTGGGTAACCCGGGTTCAAACTCCTTATACACCAAATGGCAACGGATTTTTGTGGGAAACCCGGAACTGACAAATTATAAATATGTATACATGATGCATTAAACCAAATTTGCATACATGGTGAGTGGTCGAGTGCAGACTGAGTTATTGTAGGAACCCAGGTTCGAATCCCGCTCTAAACCAAATTGAAATGATTTTTCTAATACAACGATGTCGTTTTGGGCTTATAAATCCACATCATCATTTGTTAAGTCCACATAAGACTCGTTAACATTTGACTAACGGAGATACGGTCAATGTATGAATTTACCGAAAAGTGTTGGTTGACGTATGAAATTTGAATATAATTAGAGTTGATGTAT